CGCTACTCGAATACCATAAGAATACACAAATATTTTTGAAAATCTACATGGGTGAAAAAATATTCTGTTGGAGGTGGTGGAAGTTAACAAACAATTTCACATTTTTGAATTTCTGAAAACTGTGCTGCATTGTGCTGACGAAGTGCAATATTTTTTCCTAATGACAAAATGTCATCAGACTAACAGATACTACAGCACAGGTAACAAAAGGGAACAGATTTTAGGAATTAAAAGCTTCATACCCTCATAATTTCTAAACCGTGACAGATCGAATTATCGAATCGAAGTATCGAATTTTAATAATGATGTTAAACATTCAACGAAACGTTCTTTAAATGGTGAAAAAAAAATAGAAATATCACAGCGTCTCGCGGCAGGTACATTATCAGCTACGATATGGCGACGACAGGAAGTTACCAAAGTAATGAATTTATATGACTCCGAACCACCACATTTATATAAAGCTTCCACTTTGAGAAAGGCAAAACAGGAGAGACAAGATATAAATTTACAAATAAAGGGATCCTGTGTATTTTCTAATTTGCAAACTATGAAATATTCCAATCATGCAGGTTCTATTCACGGTATAGGATATGACCCATTTTTTATTCATTATTGGTCAGCTGAGCAGATAGCTGTTTATTTAGAACACCATGACATAATTTATGTTGATGCAACCGGGTCGTTAGTTAAAAAATTAAAACTACCTAATGGAGAACAATCTTCTCACATTTATCCTTATCAAGCTGTCACAAATACTACCACATATAAAATCCCAATACTCCAAATGTTAAGTACCGTTCAACATGTTAATGCTATCAAATATTGGCTGAACGAATTTTTAAGAATTGGATCGATTAAGACAGCAGGATTTCCTATTCCTCGTTCAGTAGTATGTGACTTTGATATGGCCTTACTAAATGCTCTCGCGAAAGCATTTGGACAGTGCTACAATTTAAAACATTATTTGACGACTTGTTTTACTTTAATTTTAAACGAAAATACTATAGAAAAGCCAAAATGTTTTATACGCCTCGATATTTGCCACTATATGCATTCCGTATCGAGATGGAAATGTTTGTCGGAAATAAATCCGAAAGTAAAAAAATTTTATATGCGAGCTATGGCTTTATCAACGAAACAGGTAGATTTTTCTCGTTTTGTGGAATTAGCAAAATGTATTATTATTTTATCCCTCAATGAAGAAATTGGAAGCAACATTGAAGAAAACAATTCAGCAGCCGAATCTGCACGCAGACTTATCACCGATTATATAAAAGGCGTAGAATATGTGGCATCAAATGATAATGATGACAAACGCATACAAAATGAAGAAATTGATATTGAAATAAAAAATTGCAACATTTCATTGTGGTCGTATAATTTATTCCAAGAATGTCAGAAAACGGTAACGGAATCAACAGCAGAATGTGATATAGCAAATCCATATTATGCACCGTACTTAGGCAAAAGATTAAAAACATTTTTTTCTTATTTTCCATTATATACAAGTGTAATGATTCCTATTTTTGGATATGGACAGATAAATGAAAGTTCCTCAGCTGTGGAATCTGAGATGAACGATATTAAACACGTTTTATTAAAAAATATATCCCGACCAATGAGAGCGGACAAATTTGTAACTACTCATCTAAAATCATTTACGGGTAGATCGCTATTAGCTATGGCGTCACGTGAGTCATCGCAGTCTGCTGAAAAAAATCATCAAAATATAGAAAATAATTTACCTGAAAATGCATTAAAATTTCCCAATTATGCTTCAAGAAACAAAATTAAGAACTTCCTCTGATACTTCTTTACATATTACAGCAAAAAATTTAAATTCGGAAGAAAATGACTCAAATTTTGACGAAACAAACGATTTAAATCTGGAACATAATTGGAGAAATAAAAACAGGACAGATAACTAAAAGAAAAACGTATTTGGATAATTGCCCGGATTGGGATGTAAGCAATTTGAAAAATACGAAGATAGGAATTGCCAATTTACAAAATGGTAATATATGTTCCTTATTATCCATTAATAAAAAAAGAATAGTCGTTAGCAATACGTGTGGTTTTGACAGTATTGCTTGTATAATTGCATGTGGATGCATAAATAAAATCTACAAACAGATTGTCCAATCGTCTAATAGTAACATCATGCAGTTTATTAAATATTTTTTAGAACATGGTTGCAATCAAAAGACATAAATTAAGAGCTGAAATATTAATGAGTATTGATAATTTTATTTCGAAAACCGATAAAAACGTCATATCTATAGATTGTTTTTCAAGCATAGAGAACATGGCTCAATATACCTTCAAAAACAATCCTAGTTATACAGAGATTAAAAAATGCAATGTATGTTCAAAGAATAATGAGCGAAATTCTGTAATTGTCCCAATTAACGTCGACGTCATTAAAAAACACGGATTTAATGAAATATCTAAAGCGATCTTAAACGCTATTCCATACAATATATCAATTTGTTGCAACTAAATAATGAACAAAAGTTGACATTATGGTGCATAAATTTTTATCGAATGCGACTTAGAACCAGAACACATGCAGGTATTATATAGTCTTGGTGAGTTTGCGACAAACATCCAGCTTGCGACAAGTTCTTTCACATTAGCCGGAGTAGTAACTCGTTATGGAGGTGTTGGAGAACGTTGCGGACATTACGTGGGTTATTCTTATCAAGGATCACAATCGGTCGAATTTGATGACTTAATAAAAAAATGTTAAATATAGGACGAAGGAATTTAAAATAAATCCCCATTTATTAATTTATATTACAAGCGACGCGGATTAGACTTTTGTATATAGTTTTGTTAACCTTGTATATAGTTTAGTTTAGTTAGTTTAGTTATTAAGTTTAGTTTAGTTAACACAGTTTTAAAATATATAAAATAAAAAAATATCTAACATTTAAAAAATACAAAAAAAATTTAAAACAAAAATACAAAAAATATAAGATTATATAAAATGCATATAAAAAAACAAACAAAAGATGAAGTACAAATACATCGACCTGGTCGATTTCGAGATTGCGTTATCTGATTTCATTGCTCCGGAAGAGAAAATTCTTCCCAACGCGGAGGCGTCGGAGTTTGTGATCGACCAAATGTTCACTATTAACAAATTTTCGTATTCCGCTCTCTCTCTCTCTCTCTCTCTCTCTCTCTCTCTCTCTCCTCTCTCTCTCTCTCTCTCTCTCTCTCTCTCTCTCTCTCTCTCTCTCTCTCTCTCTCTCTCTCTCTCTCTGTCTCTGTCTCTGTCTCTGTCTCTGTCTCTGTCTCTGTCTCTGTCTCTGTCTCTGTCTCTGTCTCTGTCTCTGTCTCTGTCTCTGTCTCTGTCTCTGTCTCTGTCTCTGTCTCTGTCTCTGTCTCTGTCTCTCTCTCTCTCTCCTCTCTCTCTCTCTCCTCTCTCTCTCTCTCCTCTCTCTCTCTCCTCTCTCTCTCTCCTCTCTCTCTCTCCTCTCTCTCTCTCCTCTCTCTCTCTCCTCTCCCTCCTCTCTCTCTCCTCTCTTTCTCTCTCTCCTCTCTCTCTCTCTCTCTCTCTCTCTCATTTTTACCTCTTATATTTTAGCAATATTCTACTTTCTCTTACTCTCTGTGGCTTACTCTCTCGCACTTGCTGCTTTCTGCTTTTTCAGCGCGCTCGTATCGCCTCTGGTGTCGGAAAAGTGAGATGCACAAATCCCCTCTCCTTTGTGGTTGAGCGTTTCTTATTTTCTGACTGAATCGAAATTTTTTCGTGATTTGTATTTATTTTAAAATATTTACATTTAGAGATAACATTTAGTACACGAAAAGCACAAGGACACTTTCCTTCCTATTTTTTGAGGCCGAATTAATTGGGACTGAGAAAACTTCCATCAATTTAGCCATTGCTGAGATATGAATATCTCGTTTCAACTCGCAGTTTCGCACGGCGAACAAAGGCACGGTATACTGCGCTCCGTTCGGGAGCATCTTTGTTGCGTTTGGACTTGAACTGGCGCGAGGCACTATCGTGCCTTTTGATTGGGAGTTCCATTCAGAATTTTTATATTGATTTTGACTGGACTTTTCAAGATTATCCCAAAGTCAATTTCATAACGTCAGTAAATAGATCCTTTGAAGTCATACAAGTTTTATCTGAAACATTTTTCTCCAGAATGTCGCGTTTACGGAAAAATCAAGTGACCTGAATGGTCTAGAACAGAACTCGGCAAAATGTGCACGCGACGGCCAATTTTCGACTATCTCCGCCCACCGCTATTCCCTTTACCTCGCCAGTCCGCGTGCTGCCTACAAGCTGCTCGAGTCTCAGGAGCGTGTTTCCAATAGTTTTCCACGTTACCCATGAAGTACTATTGTTGACGCGTTTTTTTTTTAAGTGGTATCCCCAGTAAGCCTAATCCACTGATGACTGTAACAACCCGTAACTAATTGAACAGAAGCGAAATAAAATATGTTAAATGAAGAATATTCAATTCGATTTTCGTCTTTTATTGATAAGAGTGGAAATGTCAATTTGGATATTGCATGTAGCGAGCCGCATAAGACGTGGTAAGGAATCGTCGCTTAAAGAAGAACACTTCTCATTTTTTATAAATCATTTCTTCATTTTTGAAAAATAAAGAGGCCTACTGGAGATACCACTGGAGATACAAAAAAAACGGGTCAACAATAGTACCTCATGGGTGACGTGAAAACTATTGGAAACACGCTCCTGAGGCTCGAGCGGCTTGTGGGCAGCGCGCGGAGCGGCGAGGTAAAGGGAATAGCAGTGGGCGGAGGTAGTCGAAAATCGGCCGTCGCGTGTACATTTTGCCGAGCTCTGGTCTAGAACACCCCGTATATGTATACATAAATGGTATAAAACACTCCGTATATGCATACATACGTATAAGTATGTAGAAGTATCTATAAGTGTATATTACAATATAATGATGTACATTTATGTGACATTTCTAATTTTTGTAATCTTACCACATTCTTTCACACAGATCATTATAATATACATACAGAATATAAAACACAGAATCAGCCTCTTCAAATAACCGGACGATCTGACCCAATAATTGAATCTTCAACATTGAACGTTACTGGTACTAATGTATCTATCGCCGTGCAGGCAGATATGCCAAACAATATAGTGCAGTCAGAAAACCAGCAGAATTGGCAGAAGATTATAACGAAAACTTATAACGCCACCAAATCGTGGATAAATCAGCAAGAGGATAAGGCTTTAAAATTAACTTTAATTATACTTATAGGATGTATTATTGTAATGTTGTGGTACATAAGCACACAAATTAAGGGATATCAGCAGTTGTCGCAAGTATGATATACTCTCTCTCTTTATCTCTCTCTTACATGTACACATCACACACACACACACACACATATACATGTATCCCATCTTAAATACTGTAGGTAAATATCTCGAAAAAATATAAAAAATGCGGAAAAACGTTTCACACAAAAGTTAATTGGTTTGAAAAGAGATATGACATTTTGTATACAGATCACAATATTTTCGAGATATTCACTGATTATCAATTTTCTAAAATGGGAACCCCAATTTTGTTCATATCATTTTCTACCAATGAGTTTGAATAACTTTTATTTGAAACATTTTTTTATTTGTCTAATATTTTTTAGAGATATTTAAAGAAAACTTAATAACTTTTTCAATATTTAACTTGTGATATTTCGCTGTTTGTCATAAGAAAAAGTGGTACTAGATTTTTTATTCTATTTGTCAACAATACATTGTTACAATAGCGCCTTTTGTTAATTTGATGGTTTTGAGATTTCCAAAGATCGATAAGTTAACAAAAGGGCATTATTATAACAATATATTTTTGAGACCAAATAAAGTAAAAAAGTCAAGTACAATCCTTCTCTCTTTCTCCCTGTCTCTCTCTTTCTCTCCCTCCCCCTCTCTCTGCCTTTCTTCCCTCCCCCTTTCTCCCCTGACCATTTCTCTTCCCCTCTATCCCTCTGTCCCTCCATCTCTCTCCCTCCCTCCCTCTCCCTCCCTCCTTCCCTTCGGCACCAGCATAGGACGGAGTCCCGCGCCTATGTACGGCACTGCGCAGTGTATTATCGTGCGCGCCATTGGTCGACTTTCCTCGTTAATAACTTTGTTATTAATGGTCGGAAGAAAAAATGGAAGAGGAATTTTCGACTCAGAATTTTAGTCTCTCTCACACCCCCAAAGGATAATCGTGTGTTTTGAGACATTCTGTATATGTATATACAGGGTGGTCCATTTTAATAGACAATTGGAAATATTTTGTCAGGTAAGCCAGATCGCGAAAAATATTTCAAACAAAAGTTATAGGGTTCAGAGGGAGGCATCTGACGGGGATCTCAGCATGATCTTGGATCGTCGTTTGAAGGTCACATAAAGGTCAACTTTAAAATCCTAAATAGAACCCCACATCTTTTTACTGCATATTCTTACAGCCCTTGTCGAGACGTTTTCGAAACACTATCTACTTTTGTCTTTTGCGTAAACCATTCTCAAGATATAAAGCTTCAAAGTTGATATTCCGCCGGCATTCGCATTACTCGATATACACCGCGGAGAGATTGCTCGGTCGGATTTGTACATCATAGTTTACTTTCCTTCGGGAATCACCTCGATGCCACTTTCTCTCATCGATGGATAGGTCGGGATAGTCCAATTTGATGTCCACCAAAATCACCCGATCTTACTCTTCCAGATTTTTATCTGTGGAGATTTTTGAAAGACGCAGTGTTCTGTCAACCGCCAATGATGCGATAGGATAATGATGATATGAGAATAGGATATGATGGATCACATCAGAAATGCGTGCCGAGCGATACCAGCAAACATTCTTCTGAAACTCGTCGAAAGTTTCGAGAAGCGAGTTCGAGTGTGCCGAGCTGTCAGTGACGACGTTTTCGAGCATCTATAATGAATGAGCCCTCCCCCCCTCCCCGCCACACACACACACACACACACACACACACACACACACACACACACACACACACACACACGCACACGCACACACATACACATACACGCACACACACGCACACGCACGCACACACGTACGCACGCACACGCACACACACACACACACACACACAAAATCGACCCTTTTTAGGGCCACTATGATGTATAAATTCGACCGAGCAATCTCCTCGCAGTGTACATTGGGTAATGCGAATACCGGCGGTATGGCAACATTGAAGCTTCATATCTTGAGAATGGGTTACGCAAGAGATAAAAGTAGGGAGTGTTTTGAAAACGTCTCAACAAGGGCTACAAGAATATGTAATAAAAAATGGGGGGGATTTGGGATTTTAAAGTTGACCTTTACGTGACCTTCAAACGACAATCCAAGGTCAAGCCAAGATCACCATCAGATGTCCCCCTCTATCCTGCACCTTTTGTTTGAAACATTTTTCGCGATCTGGTTTATCTGATGAAATATTTCCGATTGTCGATTAAGATGGACCACCCTTATATATATACAGGGTGTTCAAAAAGTTCCGGTACGGCCGGGTAACTCTTGAAATATTGGTTATCGTAAAAAACTTCGATAAAAGTTGTAGGAAATAAAAAAAGATATTCAGTGATGACTTTGATCTTTGAGCTTCAGGCAACCTCCAAGGTCATATGTAGGCCAACCCCGTTTTTTCACATAGAAACATGTATTTTTGATAGCGGAAATTGAAAGAGCATAAAAATTACATCTAGATATGTCCTTAGTCATGTTGACCTTTGATCTCTAGAGGTCGTTTTAAGATCTTTGAACCTTACACTTCCATAAGTTACGGTACGGCCGGATAAATCTGGAAATATTGGTTGTCATAAGAAACTTCCTTGATAAAAGTTGCAGGGAATAAAAAAAAGGTATTCAATGGTGACTTTGACCTTTGACCTTAAAGTAATTTTCAAGGTCAAATAAAGGTCAATCCCGTTTTTTCAAATAAAAACGTTTTTGATAGCGGAAATCGAGAAAGCGAAAAAAATTATGTCCAGATATGTCCTTAGTCATGTTGACTTTTGAGCTCTAGATGTCATTTCAAGGTTACCTCAAGATCAAAGGTCAAGATCACCATTGAATACCTTTTTTTATTCCCTGCAACTTTTGTCGAAGAAGTTTTTTACGATAACCAATATTTCAAGAGTTCCCCGGCCTTACCGGAATTTCTTGAACACCCTATATATGTATATGTACATAAGGGTGGTTTAAAAATTTGGAAACAGCTAATTATTTCTGAAAGTAGCGGTTCTGTAGGAAAATGTTTCAGACAGAAGTTATAGGGTTTTAAGTAACGCATTACATAGCTATATTATTATGACCTAGAAGGGTGTTGTCAAGGTCACATAAAAATCACTTTAAATTTTTTAATTGGAAATCCACATTTTTTATTACATACTCTTATAACTTTTCTTGAGAGCTTTCCAAGACACTATATTTAAGTTATTTTCTATGAAGTACTTTCCGAGTTATGAGTCTTGAATGTTAGGGAACCGTCGGCATTAGCATTACCTAAGGTGTACCGTATGGAAGTTGCACGGTTGGATTAATAAAAAATAGGGGTTTCCAATTAAAAAATTTAAAGTGATTTCTATGTGACCTTGACAACACCCTTCATGGTTATAATAGTATTGCTATGTAATGCGTTACTTAAAATCCTATAACTTTTGTCTGAAATATTTTCCTACAGAACCGCTACTTTCAGAGATAATTAGCTGTTTCCAGACTTTTAAACCATCCTGTATACAGGGTGTCACATAATCGTAACTCACCAACTCCATAGGAGCGTAGAGCTAAGCGAGAGGAACGAAAAAGTCTTGTTCCATTTAGCGATATCATGTATAGTTTTTTTAGTAATAACCGCGTAAAGTTTGGCATTGATCACGCCCATCGCGGCCTATAGACGCTCCGCGGCAAGCTGTGTATGTCGAGACTGAGCGGTAACACGTCTTGCACTAACCTTCGCGATGGCCTCAAAACACCAAGACGCCATCGCGACGGTCAACGCGAGACGCGTTACCGCTCAGTCTCGACGCAGACACAGTCTATAGGCCACGATAGGCGTGACCAATGCCAAACTTTACGCGGTTATTACTAAAAAACTATACAAGATATCGCTAAATGGAACAAGACTTTTTCGTTCCTCTCGCTTAGCTCTACGCTCCTATGGAGTTGGTGTGTTACAATTATGGGACATCCTGTATAGTGTGTACATTTAGTGTGTACGTTTATAGTTTTTCAAAAGCGGTCAATTTTAAAAATAAGTAGTAAAAGTTTGTATATTTTTCATCTTTGAAAAAGTGAAAGTTAAATAATTTTATAATCTATAAGTTTTAATGATATTTTCACTAAAATTTTTATTATATTGCTTGTTTAGGGTTCGCGCGAAAATAGTCGCACAAGCTACTCTAATAAAGATAGCTTATCTATTATACCAGAAGATATTGGAGAGGGCTTAGTGAGAGTAGGAAAGATTACATTCGACACAAGACAGGTCTTAGGCAAAGGATGTGAAGGAACATTTGTGTACAAGTAATCATATTTTCAACTTGTAATATTTATGAGCGAAACAGGAAGGCAGTCTAGAAATATATTTTTATATGGAAAAAATTTATTTAGTTTTGTTTTTTTGTTTAGAGGTCAATTTGATGGTCGTGCTGTAGCCGTAAAACGTCTATTGCCGGACTGTTTTATGTTTGCTGATCGAGAAGTGACCTTGTTGAGGGAATCAGATGCACACGCAAATGTAGTTAGATATTTTTGTACTGAACAGGATCGTATGTTTAGATATATTGCTTTAGAGTTAGCTGAAGCTACATTGCAAGATTACGTGGTGGGCAAATATAATAAGGAGAAAATATCAGTAAAGGATATTTTATATCAGGCAACATTCGGCTTAGCGCATTTGCACTCTTTGGATATTGGTAAGTCTGATGAGAAATAAAATTGCAAATGTTTTTTTTATTAATTTTATTGGGTCTTGGATATGTTGTAAAGTAAAATAAATAAACCTCCGGTTTAGGGGAGGCAGCTGCAATGACACTGATCTTGACATATGTTGTCAAGGACACCTCGCGTAACATTCAAGAGGTTTTAGCTGTCATTGTCATTTGTTAAAATGTTATTAACAAAAGAAGTTTCATTAATAGAACGTAATTTTTCGGCACTGTATACATTTAACATCTAAAACTTGTAGGAGGTTACTTTGGAACGCAGTATGTATAAGCGGTGGAAGGTCTCCGCCCACACTCTCTCCCTAAGAAAATCCTAATTTGACCTAACTTCTTGTATTTTTATATATTGTTGGACGTTGAAAAGGTTAAAACCTTTAAAACCCACGCCCAACAATAAAAAAACAATAAGTTAGGTTAGGTTAATACTTTGACTCACGTATAATTCACTGAGCCAGCAGTTATCGGCCGAACTCACGAATACGTGAGTTCGCTGAGCTTGCGTTTACCGGCTGACTTCACGTATATGTAGGTTGATTTAGTTATTAGCTGGCATTGATTGTTGTCAAAGTATTAAGTTTATATATATACAGGGTATCCCATTTTATTTTTGACAGTCAAATATCTTGAAAAATATGGAAGATATGGAAAAATGTTTCAGACAAAAGTTGTATGGTTTCAAGAGGGATATAAAATAACTATATCAGTTTGTTTACAGATGGCATCACTTTTAAAATATCTACTGATCATTACTTTTTTTAAATGGAAACCCCAATTTTTTATTATGTTATCTTTTTTATCAATTAATTTGAACAATTTTTGTCTGAAACATTTTTTATTTGCCAAATATTTTTTTAGATATTTTAAGAAAACTTGGCAACTTTCAATATTTAACTTACAATATCTCGCTAACTGTTTGTCGGAAGAAAACATGGTATTAGACTTTTTTACTCTACTTAATCTCAAGAATATATTGTTACAATGGCATCCTGATTTTTGTTAATTTGATGATTTTAAAATATCTAAAAATTCGAAAAGTTCTGGAAATACATTAAAGACAAAGTTTTTTCGGAACAACCTACAACTGTAGAAAATATGATAGACCGTATCTGAAAAGCATGCAGAAATATTAATGCAGGTGTTCTTCAAAAAGTTAGGGACGATTTTCGATATAGACTGGAGCTATGCATACAAATAAATAGCCAGATTTTCGAAGTAATTAAACGCAAGTCCAGATCTTCCGTTGACTGACTAGATCGTTTACCGATCTTGTCTTGTAAATTAAAAAGTATTTAACAAAAAGGTACTTTATTATAGGTACCATCTTATGTCCGTCTCAAAACCATACAACTTTTGTCTAAAACATTTTTCCATCCGAGCATTTTCTGCAATGATAATCGAGGTGCACTATTAAAATGGGACACCATGTATACAGGGTGTTCCGTAAGTCGACGTTAATCGCTCGAGAAATGAATAGGGAACCACAAACAAGAAAGAAAGTTGATACAAACATAAGTCCAAAAATGCGTTGTTTTCGAGTTATCGCCATTTTTATGTTAAAATTTGAAATTGCTTTGCTTTCGAATTTTTTTGGTTTTGGACTTTCGATAGTTTTTATGAGTTTCAAAACACAACCAAAGTCAAATAAAAGTTGCGGGCTGCTTTAGCACTACCCTGGATGCACGGCGTGGAGGTACAGCCCGCTTAGCATCCCTTGGCAGAGATCAGGACCCCACAGTTCGTCACTCCTGTGGTATTTAGTGACTCCAAACTCTGTCGTGTGTATGTATGTGTGTATGTGTGTGTGTGTGTGTGTGTGTGTGTGTATGTATGTGTGTGAGTGAACGTAAAAATTATATGAAGTGTTCGAAATGACCTCTTTCTGCATGAATGCAGGCTCTAAGCCTTCTTTCTAAGGAGTCCCGAACTCTTTGTAGCACTTCCGGATTTTCTCTAATGTTTCGAACACCTCATAATTTTTACGTTCACTCACTCACACACACACACACGCACACACACACACACACACACACAGACACACACACACACACACACACAGAGACACACACACAGACACACATACACACACAGACACAGACACACACGCAGCACACATACACACAGACACACACAACACACGCACACACACACACACACACACACACACACACACACACACACACACACACAGACACACACACACAGAGACACACACACAGACACACATACACACACAGACACAGCACAACACACACACACACACACACACACACACACACACACAGAGAGAGAGAGACACAGACACACACACACACACACACACAGACACACACACACACACACACACACACACACACACACACACACAGACACACACACACACACACACACACACACACACACACAGAGAGACACACACATACAGAGACACACACACACACACAGACACAGACGCATACACAGACACAGAGACACACACACACACAGACACACACAGCACACATACACACACAGACACACACACACACACACATTTTCAAATTTTAACATAAAAATGGCGATAACTCGAAAACAACGCATTTTTGGACCTATGTTTGTATCAACTTTTTTTCTTGTTTGTGGTTCCCCATTCATCTCTCGAGCGATTGACCTCGACTTACGAAACACCGTGTATAATAGCGCTTTGATTTTTGTTAACTTCCTAACTTTTGGAAATTTCAAAATCATCAAATTAACAAAAATAGAGCATTATTGTCACAATATATTTTTTACTTACTTAATACTAATTATATTTGGATTTGCAACATGTCAACAGTATACCTATAAATTATAATAAAGCTTATAAAAGATGCCAGCGGCAGCCAGTAGTTTTCGACATTATACGCCGGCGGCAAGGGCCAATTTTTTTCGTGAAACGTGCGGTCATCGAAGTGTTAAGATTTTTTTGGGAAGATGGTGCGAAGGGAGTCTCTCCCCCGTTTATATGTTCTATTTAACATTTTTTAATGTACATTCGAGATTTAATGTATGTTCGAGATATATTATACTGAATATATGAGAAGTTGCATTTCATTTTTTTCCTCTTTTGACCATGGATAATTTTAAAATAGTTGTTCATACAACAAAATATAAGCGAATCACGTTATAGTTACATAAAGATTCTAATAGTTGATCTTGATTGTACGAGGGTTGCCTTTTATATTTCGGGAATAGGGAACAAAAAAAGGAAATTAATCATCGTACATGGGTTTATTGTTTTTCAAAATATTCTCCATGAAGATCCATACACTTTTGCATGCGCTTGAACCAATTTTCGAAGCACTTTTTTCACTCCGATTGAGGTACCTCCAAAACATGCATTTTGAACGCATCAATCGCTTCTTCAGGCGTCGAAAAACGTTGACCTCGTAATTTATTTTTGATTTGCGGGAATAAGAAGAAGTCATTGGGTGCCAAATCAGGGCTGTACGGCGGATGACCCATCAATTCGACTTTTTCAGTTCTCAAAAAGTCTCTTGTTTGAGCCGATGTGTGAGAGCTCGCATTGTCCTGGTGGAGAATGATGCGTCTTCGGCGGTTGGTTTCCCTTATTTTTCCGAAGACTTCTGACAAACAAATGGTTGTGTACCATTCAGAATTGACCGTCCGACATTGCACTAATGGTACAGTTGTCACATGTCCGGTTTTTCCGAAAAAACAGACGACCATTTGCTTCGAAGTGCTTCGTGTGCGAACAACTTTTGTTGGATTTGGCTCATCTTGAAAGACCCATACAGTCGATTGCTGTTAACTTTCGGGCTCATACGCATAGATTCATGATTCGTCACCTGTTACGATATCATAGACGTGTTTTGAAGCACCGCAATCGTATTTCTTGAGCATTTCTTTCGACCAATCGACACGAGCCTTTTTTTGAGCGATTGTTAAATTATGTGGGATCCAACGCGAACACATTTTTTTGACAGCCAAATGTTCATGCAATATTGAATGTATGCTGGTCCCACTAATGCCCAAGGATGCCTCAATCTCACGATAAGTCACATGACGATTTTGCAATATCAGTTCACGCACAGCATCAATGTTTTCTGGAACAACAACTGATTTTGGACGACCTTCACGAAATTCATCACTAAGCGAACTACGGCCACGATTGAATTCCGTACACCATCGATATATAGTGGTTTTTGATGGTGCTTCATCGCCAAAAGTCGAATTTAGTTCATCGATGCACTGTTGTTGAGATAATCCACGTCGAAAGTTGTAAAAAATAATCGCACGGAAATGTTCACGACTTAATTCCATTTCTTGGCCGACATCAATTTTTCATGTCACTGTAAACAACACAAATGGCGCATGGACATCAAAACGTTCTGAGTAAGTATGCTGACAAAAAGTCGAACTTTACGTTAGGGACGTCGATTGTCAGATGGTAGCACCTGGATCGTCCATTCCCGAAATATAAAAGGCAACCCTCGTATGTTGTATAATAAATGCGGAAACTCGTGAAAACATCTTAACCACTTTAAAGTTCAAGATATATGAAATATACAAGCAACATTTACGTTATTTATAAACAGAACGTATCTTTAAGAATGCGAAGCCTCTTCTCTGCTCACATATGTGTAAAGTTTACCGTATCTAAATGTACACAGTGTCGAAAACGCTCGATTAATGGAACTTATTTCGTTAATGACATTTTCACAAACGAGCGGCGGCTAAAATCCTCTATTACTTAGAACAGTGCCCGGAATTACTTGCACGATCGGGCCGATTTCTGAGAGCTACGCCTCCTTACTTCCCCTTACCGCTCCAGCCCGCACGGCGGACCTAGAAACTGACAGTCGCGAGGCGCTGTCTCAGGCACGTCGCATGAGACAGTCACATGAGATGCTTTACAGTTTAACATAGCTGAAACAAATTTATTTATTAAAACAACTCCATAGGCATTTTTTATAGTTTACTAATATAATATAGTCTTAATATTAATATAAATATATGTTAATAGAAATATCAATATAAGTAATATTCTTAATATAACTATAATATACAGTGTATATTATATATTATATATTATATATTAAGAATATTACTTATATTAATATTTCTATTAATATATATTTATATTAATATTAAGACTATATTATATTAGTAAACTATAAAAAATGCCTATGGAGTTGTTTTAATAAATAAATTTGTTTCAGCTATGTTAAACTGTGAAGTATCTCATGTGACTGTCTCATGCGACGTGCCTGAGACAACGCCTCGCGACTGTCAGTTTCTAGGTCCGCCGTGCGGGCTGGAGCGGTAAGGGGAAGTAAGGAGGCGTAGCTCTCAGAAATCGGCCCGATCGTGCAAGTAATTCCGGGCACTGACTTAGAATGATGTCATTGACAACATATGTTAAGGTCAGTGTCATTCCAGCCTCCCCTGAACAGTTTTTTAAGAAAACGCTTTCTACATGTACTTTTTCGCATATTTACAAATCTTATTTTTGGAATAGTAGTCTTATTAGAAAGTTATATTTTTGTTCTACCTTTGTTTTATTTTCGTGTGCTATCATTAATTAAATTAGAAAAAAATAGACAATTTAAAAATTTTAACTCGGGGACATGTAATTATTTAATATCTTTCTTGTTTTTATATTTTTAAGAAATTAATTTATAAAAGTTTATTATTTTTGTGCAGTCCACAGAGATATTAAACCTCACAATGTGCTTCTTTCCGTTCCTGGACCACGAGGTGAAGTGCGTGCAATGATATCAGATTTCGGCTTGTGCAAAAAACTTCAGTTAGGTCGCGTATCATTTTCGCGAAGATCTGGTATTACTGGAACAGACGGCTGGATAGCACCGGAGATACTTAATGGAGAGAGGACAACATGTGCAGTTGATATTTTTTCGCTTGGTTGTGTTTTTTATTATGTTTTCTCTAGTGGCAAGCATCCCTTCGGCGATCCTTTACGAAGGCAAGCCAACATCCTCTGTAAGTAGTGATTTAAGTTAAATTCATTATTAATAAGTTTTAATATTTAACTGTTTTATTATTTATTTTATTATTTTACATATTGACCATTTAATGTATTTCATACATAAAACTTATATACTAAATTTATACATATTGGATTATCACTATAAAGCAAAAGAGTATGTCGAAAACTGAGCAAAAATAAAACTAGAAATTAATTATTTCATTTCATTCTTCTCGTTAAGATTCTAACAATAATAATATGTAGGGTCAATTCGATGGTTATAACGGTCAAAGTAGCCAACCAAATTAAGTCAAACAATTCTAAGGTGATCGTTGGAATAGTGGGTAACCATGGGTCAGCAATCCACGGATTTCTGATTAGTAAGCCACAACAATTTACCTTTACGTTTTATGAAAATCTTGTGACGAAACTGCGGTCTTTCTTGATAAGCATTACTTCTTATTCAACGTTCAATTAAAATAAAAAAAATTTACTGGGTTTAAAAGAATCTTATTGCAAAATAAATCGAACGATAGAACTTTAATATGGGCAGAGAATGAGAACCTAAGAAGAAAAAATTGAGATGTGCCCGAAGTAAATTCTGAAAAGACATGAAAACGAACATATTTCTGAGATTATCAATACAAAACAGAGATTATCAGGACACAAAAGAACTGAGAGAGAGAGAGAGAGAGAGAGAGAGAGAGAGAGAGAGAGAGAGAGAGAGAGAGAGAGAGAGAGAGAGAGAGAGAGAGAGAGAGAGAGAGAGAGGAGAGAGGAGAGAGGAGAGGAGAGGAGAGGAGAGGAGAGGACGACATGAAAACTACAGTCTGTCCCAGATACGATGAGACTGGTTCCATCAAAGTTCTTAGCGCAACGACATCTACGAGGGTGGTCCGATAAGTACTTAGCCTACAAAAGAAAAAGGAAAATTTTGGAAAAGTGGCGATTTATTTCCTAACATAGTCTCCTTTTAGCTCGATACACTTGACCCAGCGATGCTCCAACTTCTTTAACCCGTCTGAAAAATACGTTTTCTCGAGGTCTGCAAAGTAGGCCTCCGTGGCGGCGATGACCTCCTCATTCGACTCAAATTTCTGCCCGGCGAGTGACTTTTTCAAGTTTGGAAACAAAAAGAAGTCGCACGGGGCCAAATCTGGAGAATACAGTGGATGGGGCAGCAGTTCGTAGCCCAATTCGACCAATTTGACCGTGGCGAGGGCGGAGGTGCGCCGGTGCGTTGTCATGGTGGAAGAGCACTTTTTTCTTCGCCAAATGGGGCAGTTTTTTCTGCAATTCGGCGTCGAATCGGCCCAATAATTCGGCATAGTACAGCCCTGTGACCGTTTTGCCCTTCTCCAGGTAGTCGATGTAGATCACACCTTGTAAATCCCAGAAAACGGTGGCCATCACCTTTCCGGCCGATAGAACAGTCTTCGCCTTCTTCGGAGCACGTTCGCCGGGTGAAGTCCACTGTTTCGACTGTTCCTTGGTCTCTGGTGTGTACCAGTGGATCCATGTTTCGTCGACGGTCACGAAACGACGCAGAAACTCCTTCGGATTGCGCTTAAACAGTGTCAAACACTGCTCTGAAGTGGTCTCACGGTTGCGCTTGTTGTCCGGAGTGAGCAAACGCGGCACCCATCGCGCCGACAGCTTTCTCATGCCCAAAATTTCATGCAGGATATGACCCATGCGGTCTTTTGAGATGCCTACTGTCTCAGCTATCTCGCGCACCTTCAATCGGCGGTCTGCCAATACAAGATCGTGGATTTTTGTCATGTTATCCTCCGTGGTAGCCGTTTTCGGGGCACCTGGGCGTGGCTCATCAAAAACCGACGTGCGACCACGTTGAAACTCGTTAAACCAATTTTTGACGGTCGCCATCGAAGGAGAAGAGTCACCGTACACAGCATCCAAGAGCTCTTTGATTTCGCTGCGCGATTTCCCTTCCAAAAATAAGAATCGAATCACCGACCGATATTGCTCTTTTTCCATTTTTCTAAAATCCGCGGACACGCTCGCTTCCACACGCGGTCAAAACAAAACTACGAGTCCGATTCGGCTGAAATTTCGACAGTAGCCGTCTACGAGAATGTACTACACGATAGTAAATTTCTCTTGCGATAGTGGCGCCATCGGGCGGTGAGGCTAAGTACTTATCGGACCGCCCTCGTATGAGTGAATGATGGTAGGTGAATGTTCTACCCTTCATCTACTTAACCTCAAAATTTGAGCGAATTCGGTTGATATTTCACTGTGGTTTGACATTTTATGTAAAGTCACTTTGTGTACGTCGGTCGAAAAACCAACATGGAACAAAGAGCGAATATTAAATTCTGTTTTAAATTGGATAAATGTGGTGCAGAAACGTACGAAACGCTAAAAAATGTATACGGGGATGAATGCATGTCCCGTGCACAGGTTTTCCGTTGGTTTGGCCGATTCCGTGACGGTCGTGAGGACCTTGCAGACGATGACCGAGCACCGCCGCCAAAAACCACTCGCAATGAAGAAAACATCGAGAAAGTCAAAGAAATTCTTCGAAGCGACCGCTGTGTGTCTGCGAGACTCATCGAAGAGGAAACTGGGATACCGAAAAGCACAGTCTATCGAATTTTGACCGAAGATTTGGGCAAACGGAAGGTCTGTGCGCGCTTCGTGCCACACACTCTGACAGACGACCAAAAAGATTGGAGAGTTCAGCATTGCAAAGACATGTTAAAAATGTCCCGAAGGAATCCGGCAAGCATGTCAGCCATTGTAACTGGTGATGAAACGTGGTGTTTTCAATACGAGCCAAAAATAAAACGTCAGAGTGCGGCATGGAAGTCACCAGAAGAGCCAAAAGAGAAAAAATTACGTTTTCAGAAGAGCAAAATCAAGACAATGCTGACCATTTTCTTCGATTCAAAAGGAATTGTTCACAGTGAATTCGTCCCAGAAGGTGAACGCAGAATATTATCTGGGAGTTCTACAACGATTGTGGGTCAGAATTCGACGAGTTCGACCGGAATATCGAGAGCCAGGCAGTTGGTTTTTGTTGTACGATAATGCACCATCGCACAAAGCCATCATGGTACGTGAATTCTTGACCAAAAAAGGCATCATTGTTATCGATCATCCACCGTATTCACCTGATTTGGCTCCGTGCGACTTCTGGCTATTTCCCAAACTGAAATTGGCGATGAAAGGAAATCGTTTCGATACTATCCTGGTCATCTAAAAGACTTCGACTGCCATACTAAAGGCCATTCCAGCCGATGAGTATAAAAAATGTTTCGAAAAATTTGTTGAACGTTTCCAGCGCTGTATTGACTCAGAAGGAGACTATTTTGAATAAACAAGAACAAAAAATCAAAATAATAAACGCTTTGTATTTTTTTTAGACCAGTCTCATTGGATCTGGCACAGACTGTGTATATCAATATAAAGTTGATGAGCAACAACAAAAGTCTCCTTTATTCTTGTCTTTATTGTCATTGATTATTTTTGACAAACTCAGGACAATGAATATTTACGATGTGTTTCAACAATTGGGGTGACTGCATATTGGCCATTTGAATTGTAAAAATAAAATAAAACGTTATATAATAAATAAAAAGATAAAAAATAAATGTTGGCCGCATCGATACCGATTACATATTGTTGACTGATTGATGGTAATCCATTGCACCACTGATCACCTTAAAATGACCTAACTTCGCTTTTGACCGTTTTGACTTTATATATTATATATTGTTGGTCTCGATAAGGAAAATGGAATGAAACTATTAATTCTCGGTTCCATTTTTGCAATTTTCAATATATTTCTTTATAACTATATATAGGGTAGCCCATGTCAAGTGTTACAAGTCCATAACTTTAAAAATATTTATAAAATCAAAAAATTGTTCATAAGGAAGTTTCATTCGAGAGGCCTCTCTAACTACATAAATGTAAACTTGCCCCCGCTTCCCTTTTAAGCGGGTAACTTTGGAGCTGATTTTCGTGCTATCAAGTTCGAAAACCACGGCTCGTTTTGACGTGAAAGTTAATATGTTGCTAATTCTGGGAGAATGTGAGAAAAATTATCGACGTGCAGCGCAACTATTTTTATAACTCAAAACTAACTAAATGTCTGATGATCTGTATTTGTCTGTGATCTGTATTTGCGTTTCCCGATAAATGTATTTATTTATGTTTCTTTTGGTTAACATCAAGTAAATACTCTAAGGTCTTTTTTGTTTTTGTTATATCGCAACTTTGTGTTAATGGAGTTCAATCATAAATAAAATTGCTAAAGGTTTAAATGCTTATAACTTTTAATAGAATCATTTTCCAAACAAATGTTTCAGATAAAATTTACTTGTTTTTTCCCGTAGAATCCAAATATGCAACATTTTATAGGAGGTTCCATTTAAAATTATGAAGTTACCCCCGTCCCCTCTTAAAGGAGAAGCGGGGGCGACTTTACGTTTATGTATTGAATTGGCAAATAAGTTCGTTCGGTTTTTTAAAGTAGAATAAAACACAATTTTTTGATACACAAGATAAATTTTAATCAATTATATATTAGCCATCTTTATCGATGACCTCTGGCCATTTTTCCACCAACTCCATTATGCCGCGTTCATAAAACGTGTGGGACTTATCGGCGAAAAACCAATCCAGATGGTTTTTAACGGCCTCTTCATCATTGAAGGTTTTCCCGTTCATAGAGTTCTGCAGCGACCGGAATAAATGATAATCGGAAGGGGCAAGATCCGGGCAAGAGATAAATACGGAGGATGAGGCAAAACATCCCAGCCAAGCTGAAGCAATTTGTTCCGAGTAATCAATGACGTATGAGGTCTGGCATTGTCATGGTGGAAGACGACACCCTTGCGATTTGCCAATTCTGGACGTTTTGTGCAGATTGCTTGGTTCAATTTCATCAATTGCGAACAGAATACAGTTGAATCAATTGTTTTGTCTGATGGTTCGTAATAGATGACACCCTTGAAATTTCACCATACGGAGAGCATTATTTTCT